TTAGATATTACTTAAAGGCTGATAGCTATTTTTAGATATTACTTAAAGGACGATAGCTATTTTTAGATATTACTTAAAGGACGATAGCTATTTTTAGATATTACTTAAAGGACGATAGGTATCTTTAGATATTAGAAATAAATCATAGGAACATAAGCACCCTAGTTTTTCATGTCAATTCAGTATAGGAAATCTTTAAGTACTACATCGCTTGGATCTTTACTAAAGATTATGTAGAGGTTACAGGATTAAGATACCTTTCAGGGGTGTTGTGCTGAGAAAAGCAAGGTTTAGTTGCTTTCATATTATTTTTATCTGCTGCAGGTTTGTCTTGTGGTGTTGAAACTACTTCCCTTCCGTAACAGTGGCTTTCTCATGTGCTTTGGATGGAACCGTGTGAATGTATCATCTTCCCACATTGTTATAATTTTGTTTGCTGGGTTTCAACTTTCTTATTAATTTTTTAAAAGGTGATTGTTAGGTGGACAGTATAGTTTAATCCTCAGCCTTATTGGTTAATAACGCTTTCAGTACTGAGCACCCTTCCATTCCCTACACCTAGTGCAAATTATATAAGAGAATTTGTCTTCTTGTTGTTTTTTTTGTTTAAAAGAATTAGCTAGCCAACTTATTCAGTTAATGTGATCTGCTCACTTACTAAGGAAAGCCCAATTTCTTTCTGGTGATACAGTGGTAAATCAGTTAAACCACCCCAGGCTTTGCTTGCATAGGATACAGAGACAGATATCTTTAAAATTACTGTATTCGTTTTCATCAATGCCATTGAAGAGTACAGAATTCAGCGAACTCTTTCTATTTGGCTTCTTCAAAGTGGCATGTGAATGCTAAGACTTCAGCACTGAATATGAAATTAAGTTCAGGTAGCATTTAATATGTCTCCCATATATACAGTGTCCTTTTACCAACGTGATTTTTTTGTTTGTTTGTTTAATAATACAGGAGACCTCCCAAAATACAAATATTTGCTTTTTTGCTTTACTACTCAAATGTTGAATGTTGAGAATTCATTTTTTATAGTCGGGACACAAACAAAAAATATTTCAGTGGGCTTTCTAACTTACCTTTACCTTTGTAATTTTTGCAACACAAGAAAACTCCTGGATCGAAAAGTGAAGGCCCCACTTACTGCAAAAGGATTTGTGACATTTTCTTTGGAATATGATTGCTGGTATCACAGAAACATTAAGGATATCATTGACGGGAATTTTTTTATATGGATGTAAGGAAGAAAATAATTATATGTAGACTTTTAAAAGTGACTATTAGCCATCATAAAATTGTTGCAATTAACTGAAATATTGTTGTATCATCATAAACATTAAATTTTTTAAAAAAAATAACAGCCGTTCTTCTGTGAGGGAGAAAAAATTGAAATGTATTCAAGTAGTTGCTAGGCCACAGCAACATCTTTTGACATTGCCATTTCTCCCACTTGCTGGTTGTGTGACCTGCGACAAACTAATTAACCTCTCTGTGCCCCATTTTATTCTATGTATAGTAGGGGTGATTATAATAAAGGATTGTGAGACTCTGAAATAAAACCTAGCAAATAGTGAGTGATCGGTAAGTGGGAACTATTGTTAGGATTAATATCAGTACACCAATGCAGCACTACCAATTTGGCCAACGGCAGTTTGCTGGAAAGGGAAAAAAAAATGCTGAAGAGTTAAATCTGATAGACTAATTCAGATCTGCAAAAATTTGAACGGAGTAAAACTGGAATTGGTAGAAATTAGGCCCATAAAGTAAAAATTCACTTGCAGTACCTATAATGGATCTAATTAAAAATGGACTCCAAAGCAAATAACAACTAAAAACACCTTCCTAATTAATGATTTTAATCTTATTTGTAAAATTTACTCATTAAGAATTGATCACATCATGAGGGAGGGAGGGAAGGTGGGGGAGAGGGGAAGTGAGCTGATACCAAGGGTTCAAGTAGAAAGAAAATGTTTTGAAAATGATGATGGCAACATATATTCAAATGTGCTTGACATAATCGATGTGTATGGATTGTGATAAGAGCTGTAAAATGATTAAAAAAGAAAAAACGAGTTGATCCCAGTGAAAACAAGTTCTGTCCAATAAAAATGCCACCAGGGTCTGTATGGTATTGGCAAACCAAGCAGTACAAGTGTGGTTTGTATAAAACACAGTGGTAAGTTTTGTGATTCAGTTATGTGGGTGGAGTAGAAGGAAAGAGTTTGCTTGGTCAGTTGTTCAATGAAGTCATCCAGGGGGAGAAATACTGTAGGAATTGAAAATGTAAGATATGTAGCTCAGTTAGTGGAAAGATACGACCTGGAAATACAGACTTGAGAGTCATTATGGGCTTTCTGGCTCTCTGTCTGTCTAGTACCCAGAACTGCATTATGATAATCAGTGTGTTCTCTTTTCCTATATTTCTCTTCCTTTACTTCTTCTTTTTATTTTCTTATTTCCCAACTGCTGCTTTGGGGATTCCATGCACTATCTATTTAGGTGGTACATCTGATAGGTATAGACAGGATCTGGTTTTATCTCTACAAACCCCACCACATAGGCAGTGGCTGAAATAATGAAAGCTGAAGGAGAACACACAGTGATGGAATTCTGAGAGCTACTGTCTGTCTGTCTGTCTCTCTCTCTCTCTCACACACACACACACTTTCATATACACACAAAGTAATAGAATTGCTAGAGGAGACATAAATATAGATAGGAGAACTATGAAAGAGTGATTTCTGAAAATTTGAGATAGGCAAGAGTTTGAAGAGGCAGCTAATTGTGTTAAGTGACACAGCCTATCCATCGAAGGTAAGAGCTGAAAAAAGGCACTTTCTGTTGGATTTTATATTATTGTTGGATATTTAAATTATTCCTGATTGGAGCACTTTTATCAAGAGATAAGGACTAAAGCTGGAGTAAAATGGGACATATGAAAATAAATTATGGAATTTAGAATTTATCCCGTGAACATAGAGGACATTTTTGATTAAAGGGATTATACACGGTTGAAGGTGATATTTCAAGGGAGAAGCTTACAGAATAATTGATGTAGAGTCAGAATGGCTACATGGGTACCAGTTAGAGTAGTGGTAGGAGATGAAAAAGAAAGACTGGCAAGGGAAGGATTTCACAGGGAAAAAGCTAGTGCACACTAACAAGTAACACTGAGGATGCAGGAAAGGGGTTTCAGGCTAATTGATCTTTGTCATGATGAGCCGAGAGATGAGAAATGTTCCATAGACTGTAAATGGAGAAAAAATATATAGTGCTTTTAAAGTAGTTTTAATACGGAAGGCTAAAGATAATAAAAATAAAAAGCATAAGGTATGTATCCAGAGTCACCTGTCATCAAATAGTTGTCATCGATTCCATGTATGTTTCCTTGACAACTCCCTTCCCAGTATGACTGTACTTTTTGTGCTTGGTTGGATCTGTTGGTTTATACCAGATTAAGGATTCCCATTCTCATGTGGGCAGATTGACAGGCCGATGTGTTCTTGGGGAGCTCCATGTATGGAGTCTTGGAAAACACACCTGAAGTACAGTTCCCATAGCTTCAAATTAAGATCAGAAAATCTCAGTAATATCCATAAAATAGCTATGACTTCATTCAATGAGTTTTGACAACTATAATTGAGATATGATTATTCTAAAAGCATGCTTTTCCCATACTGTTACGGTTACTTATTGTTAAAGACATATAACATGATGCTATGTAGTACAATGTCCCAGTTTGCTTAGCAAATGATTGATTTTTAAAAAATGACATCATTTGGGGTGCATACTTAGGGTGAGGGAGTACCATATGTTTTAAGTAGGCATTTAACATTTTTAAAACAGAATTGGATTTGATACCTGTTTTGGTCCAAATATATTGAATATCCAAATATATTGAAAAAAACTGTTCTTCATTCAGGCTAGTTCAGTAAAAGATTGATTTCTAAGATTCTATTTTGAAATTTGAGTTGCCATTTTTACTAATTGTGAATCGATAATTTATTTTAGGAATTCTTTTATAACGATGAATTAGATAGCTTTTTACGTTTGTAGGCTTGCGTTTATAGGAATTGGGTTTTAAAAAGGAATTTCTAATGTGATTGCATGGGCATTCATGTCCTGATTCCATAGGGAAAGAAATTTAAAAGGTTACATACATGCTTCCTTGGGTTGATTTTTGTCACGCAACATTGCTTTTTCTCTGCTTCCAGCAATCATTTGTATGCATACCTTTAAAGAAATATACAATTCTAAGAGCAAGTAGAATTTTGCTCTATTGAGACTTAACATGGTTCATATTCCTGTGGGTTTCTTTGTTTTTATTTCCACCAGGTTAGCATAGAATTGCCAGTAAATGTGTATTTGTCTTCGGTAGTTTGTAATAGTGCTACCTAGTAGAAATGTAATGCGAGGCACATAGGTAGTTCTAAATGTCCTGATAACCACATTAAAAAGAAATAAGCTAAATTAAGTTTATTATTTTTGTGTACATCCATATCCGCAATGTTGATTTTAAGCATGTAATCCATCTGAAAATTAATAAGGTATTTTACTTTTTAAAGAAATTTTCAAAATCTAGTTTGTATGCTATCCTTAAAACCCATCTTAATTTGGATTAACTACATTTCAAGTGCTCATAGCCACATAGTGTTAATGGCTACCATATTGCACGGTGAACATCTCTGGAGTCAGAACAGCATGGTGGATGTATTGGTAAAAGGAGATATTTGTTTCTAGTGAATTGGAGTTGATTCATTTAATAACAAGTTAGCAAAAATTAATAACTTAGGCCTCTATAGAAATCAGAACTGGACTTTTTGTACTTTTTGGAAAGCTAATTAGAGATATGTTAATATAAGGTTAATTGGGAATATTGGGAAGAGAAAACTTTTGCTGTTGAGCTACTCTTCAGTATATATGTGATTGCATTTATGTCTACTGTGCATTTATGTTCACACTTTGATAAAGCTTCAGTATGTATCTATAACTTGTAGCATAAATGCAGTTCCAGCTACAGTGAAGATTTTGTGCTACAGCTGGAGAAGGAATTGGTTCAAGCCCGACTGAGGGAAGCTGAGTCTCAATGTGCACTGAAGGAGATGCAGGATAAAGTCCTGGACATGGAGAAGGTAAGGGCAGCACAAATGCTTTCACAATGGTTAAGTGTTGGACTACTAACCATAAAATCAGTGGTTCAAATCTACCAGCTGCTCCATCTGCTCCTGTAAAAATTTATCATCTTAGAAACCAGAAGCCCAGAGGAGTAGTTCTACTTTGTTTTTTAGGGTTGTTACGAGTTGGAACTGGCTTGATGACAGTAGTTTGGTTGTTGGCTTTTGTGGTAGCTATTTACCGTATATACTCGAGTATAAGCAGAGTTTTTCAGCACATTTTTAATGCAGTTTTTGTGGTAAAATTCGGTGCCTTGGCTGATATTCGGGTCGACTTATACTTTATACGGTAAGTACTTACTGAATAATTAAATTGGGCTTAGTGTTTTTATGTGTTATAATTTTTGCCTATTAGTTACTAAGAAGGAAAGAGAAAAATGTATATAAGATTTTCAGTTATTTTTTCTGTCATTACTATTTAAGACTCCTTATGTAAGGAAAACAATCAGATTAATTTTCATGGGAAGAAATACGCTAGTACTGGAGACAAGAAACTTTGGAGAAAGAAATTAACTGTTGTCTTCAAAGATTGTAATACCTTCATGAGGAAGAAGTATGATAGGACTAATGCATAAAACATATCTGGAACATTGTATCTGAATGTAGTTGTGAGAACTGCTCAAACCTGAACAAGTGACATAGGACATATGGGAAGCTCCCTAAAGCTAGTGTTGTATCCACAGAAGCCTTACTTCTGTAGAGATTTTTTTTTTAACTATGGGAAATCGAAATAAAAGATAGTGGAAATTTTCTATAACTTTTTTGTAGCCCCTTTAGATTAAAGGACTTTAAGGATTATATCATATCCTCAAAGCTCTTGTGTTTCAGAATCTGTGTTTTGGATCACAAACTCCGAATGTCTGTGCGTTCACCTGTAAAGTCACAGAGACACACTAGATGTTTTCTCCAAGACTTCTAGCTTCAAAATACTTTGGCTCTGTGCCTAACCACTGA